GTAAAATTTTTAAATAGGAACCATTTCATATGTAATTTATTTTTATTTTTTATTATTTTATTTTTTTTGTGGTACGTAGGCCTCTCACTGCCATGGCCTCTCCCGTTGCGGAGCACAGGTTCCGGACGTGCAGGCCCAGTGGCCATGGCTCACGGGCCCAGCCGCTCCACGGCATGTGGGATCCCCCCAGACCAGGGCACGAACCCGCGTCCCCTAGCATCAGCAGGCGGACTCCCAACCACTGCACCACCAGGGAAGCCCTTCATATGTAATTTAAAATGCTGGGTTGTATACTCACTCTAGAGATTGTTAATATCTATTGTTTTAGCCAAATCTAGATACCAGTATGTATGATCCAGAAAATGGATGCAAACTAAGCAGTAGATATTCATAGCTAAAAGCTATGGATCACTGTACTTTAAATAAAAGTTGCTTAATTTTTCATAGAATATAACCATTTGATTTTATTTCTAAGGCTGAAATATGTATAACAGTTCAAGTAAGAAAATATTCCTTCGATCCAACCTTAGCATGAAAAAGTATTTTAAAATTCCAAAGCCTACTGATCAATGAGAAAATTGCAAGGAAGGTGAGAATTAACAACTGAGGTCAAACAACTACCTTCAACAGTAGATTTCATGAATATTTTTTCAGGCCATTTAGGTAGCAGTCTTTCCTCAAAATTTATAGAGAAAATATAAGGGTTAAGCGTTGTCCTAATTCTTGACCTTTTCAGGCATACCTTGACCAAGATCCAGAGGCAAAACAAGTAACAGCTAAAAACTTGGGAGAAATATAAAATTTGGTTTGGGAAAAAAGAGAAGCCTTAGGTACAAACTGATACAGAGATTTAAGGATTTAATAGGATGCATATGAGTTATTCCAGGTCAGGAATGAGAAGCAGAGGATTAGTTTCTAATATTTACCGAAAAGAAAAAAAAGTGGGAGGGACTCAGGGGTGGGAGGGGGCGGTGTTCCAAAATCAAAGAGACATCCAAGGAAGGGAGTGCTGTAGAATCTGCCTTCATGGAGATTTACAAATACAAGAGCACTATTTCTGCCTAGAGCCTTGAGAATTAAACAAAATGACCTCTTTAGGTCTTTTCTTGTGTTGTGATCCTTTAGGTTTAAATACATTTCCTGGGCAATGTCATAAAACACAACAGAAACTGCTAAATCTAAGGGCTTAGGTTCAGGAGTCAGACAGACCACATTCTGAATCAAACGTATGACTATTAACTTTTAATGGGCTTGAGCCACCCAGCAATCCTATTACATTTCCCAAGTCCATTTGCTCCCCAAGGTAAACATCTCACACCTTCACCTTTGCCCTTAAGTCTTCAAACCTCTTCTCCAACCACTTCTCATTCTTTACTGAGAAAATAGAAGCAATCATAAGAGTACTTATATAAACTCTTATTAACATATCTACCAACATCCCTGCATCTGGGCACACAGGCGCTGCCTTCCCTCCTGCTATGATGGATGAACTGCCTGTGTTACTAAGACCAACACCTCCATTTGTGCACCAGATCCCATCTTCAAGATGGTGCTCCAATAATTACCTGCAGCAAATTTTCTCCCCTTCCTAGAACACTCCCATCAGCCAACAAACATATCAGTCATCATTCCCTTCTAGCTAGTCTTGTATTACAAGAAAATGCCTCAAACCCCTCACTGTTTTCACTTCCTTTTATCCCTTTTTCCTTTGAATCCACTTTAATTAACCTTTTCTCACCAGTGATCCACCAAAATAACTCTTGTTGAGGTCCCCAGTAAAATCCATGTTGTCTAGTCCAATGGCAACTTCTTAGCCCTCATCTTATTTGAAATGCCACCTATATTCAACCCAGCTGATTCCATATCTTCCTTCCTCATGTTCTACCTTGGATTCCAGGAAAACATTCCATCTTGATTCTCCTCCTAGCTCAAGGACTTTCTACAGTTTCCTTCACTGATTCTTTTTCATCTACCCAAACTCTAGTTGGAATGCCCCATAGCCCAGTCCTCTGGTCACTTCTCCTCTCTCTCTAGCCCCATGCTCTGGTTGACCTCATCTGTCCTCATGGGTTTATACATCATATTCACGATGAAGACTCCCAAATTTGGATCTCTGGCCAGGACCTCTCCCTGAACACCAGGGTTATGTATCAAACTGCCTACTTGACATCTCCACCTGGATGACTAATAGGCATCTGAAGCACAGCAGAACCCCTGATCTTCTCTTCAAAAGCAGCTCCACCTGCACAGTTACTTTCTCAAGAAATGGCTCCTGGGCTTCCCTGGTGGCGCAGTCGTTGAGAGTCTGTCTGCCGATGCAGGAGACTCGGGTTCGTGCCCCGGTCTAGGAAGATCCCACATGCCGCGGAGCGGCTGGGCCCGTGAGCCATGGCCGCTGAGCCTGCGCGTCCGGAGCCTGTGCTCCGCAACGGGAGAGACCACAAAAGTGACAGGCCCGCGCACAAAAAAAAAAAAAAAAAAAAAAAAAAGGCTCCTTTATTCTTTCTATTCCCTGGGCAGAAATCCTCGAAGTTATCCTTGATTCCTCTCTTCTTCTCACAGGTCACAAATAATCCATCAGGAAACCTATGGACTCCCTTTTCAGAGGTTACCCGAAATCTCACCACTTTTCACTACTTTCTCCACTTCCACTGTGGGTCTAGGCCACCCTTATCTCTTATCTAGATAACTGTACTACCTTTGCCCCTCTCCCCCGTGGAGTTATTCTCCAAAAGGCGGTCAAAGGGAACTTTTTGGAACATAAATCAGACTTTTTTTCCCTCACTCAAAATCCTTCAGTGACTTACTCTCTCATTCAGAATAAAAAACCAAGGATATCAGCAGAGTCTACAGGGTCATATATATGGTCTGCAAATCACCCGCATGCTTCTCTGACTTCTCCTCCTTTCTCACCCCACTTCAGGCACTCTGGCTTCCTCAGACATGTTTAGTCCTCTCCTACCTCAGGACCTTTGCACCTGGTTTTCCTTATATCTAGAATGCTCCCCCCACCACCACCCCTGCCCACCCCCAGCTATTCACATGAGTTGCTCCTTCACATCCTCGTTTTCTCTAATCAGCCTTTGTAAAACAGCACATACATAAACACCAAAGAAAGCCCACATTCTATTATTATCTTTACCTTGCTTTACTTGTCTCCATAGCACTTAACATAGCAGAGTATATTTATTAGTTTGTTGTTTTGTTTTTTCTCCTGTCTCCCACTAGAAAGTGTCTTCCATGAAGGTCTTTGTTTGGTTCATTGCTCTATCTCCAACTCCTAGAACAGTTCCTGCACAAAGTAGTGCTCAGTGAATACTTGTTAAATAAATGAATGAATGAGCTTGACCACTTACTCTGTGTAACTTTAGGAAAATATCTGAATTCTATCACCTTTTAAATGAGGATAATGCCAGCGCCTACCTCAGAGATTATTATAAAATAAAATTAAATAATATGTATAAGCCTATTTAGAGCTCAACAAAGGACATTATTGTAACATTATTATTTGTTATCCTATTCCTAATCAACATAATCTTTTGAAATTTCCTATAAAATTAAAGTTCCAGGACATTATGAGTACTACATAAAATTTTAAGGAAGAAAATTACTTAATCTTCCATTAAAACACTGACAACCAAGAGAAAATTCCTTACTGAGATCACATAAATCATTGAACTCATCATGTCTACATTGGAACTTTCTGTGGGTTGTCTATCTGGAATTTTCTGAGTGCACTACCCTTAAATTCTTTAGTGGAACTTTTCTTTCAACTAAACTTCACACTGCAGGACTTCAGACAAGTCTCTGACATTTTACCAAGGTAGGAGGTAGAACTTGGCTGTGAATTTAGTAAAACTTCTATCAACTAGCTTTCTGTGACCCTACATTAGTTAGCTGGTTTATACATAAAACTCCTCTACTGCATGTTAATTAATTTTTTTTAAATGAGTGAAATCCTAGGTAAATTATCATTTGATTTCTTTATTTAAGGTGAAATGCATTTTGGTTTCCAAATTCATGACCGTCATCAACCTAATGCAAGGCTCTCTCTCTTCCGTGTGCCTAGAGAACCCTTTATTCCTCTACCTTGTCATTTACCACGGAATATTAAAGTTATCTCTTTATGTGTTTGTCTCTCTCACTAGATCCTAAGCTAATTGAGGATAGTTACCATGTCTTAGTCATGCCAGTATTGGTAATATCTGGTCCCTGCTAGCCCATTAGAGAGTATCATTAAATACTGTGTAAAATAAAGGCTGTGCAGTGTCATACCATAAAGCTAAACACTAGCACCAAATGAACCAAGGTTGAATACTGGCACTGCCTCTGTGTGAGGTCCGACAAATTACTTAACTACTCTCAGTTTCCTCCTCTATAGAATAGGGATGATGATATTATTTACCTTATCAGATTGTTCCAGAATTAAATAAATTAAATTAAGAAGTGTAAAATGCTTATAACAGTGTGCTTAATAAATAGAATTCATTATAATAAATATGACTATTAGTTCTTAATAAATGTTAGCTTTCATTAAACTAGAAAACCGAGTGGCCCTTTCATGTCTACAAACTAATCCCAGAGCAGGCTCAATCATCTTTAGAGCAGACATCCTGCTTAAGAGACGGCAAGAGGGTGCCTGTGTCCACACCATTCACCTCTCCTGCAGACGTAAAGTGGCCTTCTGATCTTTTTCACTCAGTCCCCCAGGAAGCCATTACCAGTTCACTGGTGTTCACACAAGACATGGAAAATTATCTACTATCTTGCTCTCCTTCTTTGCTCTCAGCCCCAGATTTCAAACAAATCTGGACTAGGACGAGATAGCTAGGGTTATATGTGTAAATGGAATGTCAGATTGTGGATCAGAGGCAGCCCAAAGACTCAAGCCTCAAACAAGCTTGAGTTACTTGGAGATTTCAGACCAAGCCACCCTTTGCGTCCCCATTACCCTGCTGACGACCCAGTTCTCCACTTGGCACCCTAGGACACAGCCTCACCTTGTGGAATTGTGGAGGGTATATTCGAGCCGCCCCATGGTTCAACAGCAGCTGGTAGCAGATCTCAGGCTGGGCGGCAGGTCGCACGGAGGTGACTTTCAGCACATACTGGATGGCAGCACAGCCATTGATATCCATGAGATTGGCTTCTGCGCCAGCTTCCAGCATCATGTGCATGAGCACGTGGTCACAGTTCCAGGCTGCCTTGTGGAGCGGAGTTTTAAAGTCGTCATCCCGGGCGTTGACCTCGGCTTTGTAGTCCAACAGCATGCGGCAGATGAGGTGATGCTCCCTGCTGAACTCCTGCTCTTTAAAGCGGAGGGCCCAGTAGGTTGCGATAGCCAGTGGGGTCTCCATGTGGGCGTTCACACTGTCCACTATGGCCCCGTGCTCCACGTAGAAGGCCACCAGCTCCGGGAGGCCGAAGTGGGCAGCCGTGTGCAAAGGCGTCTCCTCATCCTGGTTGTTGGTCTTCATGTTCACGTTCGCCCCTAGAAAGGGAGAATGAGGAAGACAATTATTTAAGCATATTTTATCATTTTCCACAAGGTTCATTAAACAGGCCTTTTCTCGCTGCTTCCCTTTCAACCTCTTCCGCTGTATACCACCCATTTTTCCAAGTTCCATTTCTAGACCCCATGGAAGCCACTGCTTTGAAACAACAGCGCCACCTCCTGGATAACCAGCAAATGTACTGAGGTGATGGGAGAATGGGCCTGAGAGCAAAAGATTTCGGCTGGGAGGCTGGAGCACTGTCAAGAGTTATAGTTCCTACCCCTAGGTGGATTTGGAAATACAAAGTGATTCCGATAACCAAGCAAATATCATTAAAAATGAAGGTTATATCACAATCTTTGAGGTTCATACATGTGGCTTTCAAAGTCTTCAGCCTCTTGATGAGATTTCTTCAAAATCATCTTTTTCTTTTCTTTCAAGGGAACTAAACCTAAATGTTTGGTCCAAGGGAACTTCAGTGGTATGGAAATTGCTCAGCCCTCTGACTGAACACTGACAATATTAAGCTGCCGAAGTCTGTGAGGCTCCTTTGGAATACAACTGGGGCAAAAACAAAAAACACAAAACACTTTGACCACCAAACTAGACTAAGGGTCATATTTTGAAAGGAAAGGGATAGAAGCTAGTAAAATAAAATACTCATTAAAAGAAAGACAATTAAAGACTGTATGTAACATGTCCAATTTATGGTTGACAAATGCTGTTTAGAAATACAGATTATTAGTGCTTGGAAATCTCCTTAGAAATTATTTAATCCAACCCACTTAACTAACAGACCAGGAAACTGAGTGAATTTTATTTTTTGATAGGGAAGTTAAGTACTAGAATGGTCAACTTGAGAAGCTGAAATTTTCCTTCTCAGCCCAGTTTAATTGGGGTGAGCTAAGTGACCCCAGGGGGCCTATTCTGTGATCAATTCTACTGGAAATTTTTATAGTTACTTCAAGTATAAATCTGGAAATACTTTTATTATTATCATTATTATTATTAGGCCAGCAACTAATATTTATTAAGCACTTGCCATGTACAACATTCTGAGCTAAATGCTTTTCACATATTGCCTCATGGAATCTTCCTAGCAACTCTTTGCAGGAGGTGCATTTTTTCCCTAATTTTACAGATGAAGAAATTTGTTTTTAGACTAATAACTATACCAAGCTAAGAAGCAATAGAATAGAGGTTTGAAAGCAGACAGCCTGGCTTCAAAATCTCTCACCACTGTGCTATTCGACGTCATTATTTTCCTAAAAAATTTTTTTCTGTACTTTGCTCTCTTTGGATATCTGAAAACTTGAAAGTAACAGAGAAATAATGTTGCATTTTGTTAATTTAAAAAATCTGTTCTCTGTGTGTTGCTCCTTTATGCCCTTTTTTATGGCACCCTCTGATCATATGGAACACATTTAAGAAAGGCAATACTCCTACAAGCTTACTTGGTGTCATAAAAAAGCCACCCCTCAGTGAGGTTTCTGAAAGCACATTGCTCTGTAAACTCAGAGCCTATCTCTGCTCCTAACTTTCAGAAAGCAGAATTATAAGTAAAAATCATCCCTCACAACAATCTGCCATCTGTGTTCATCAGTATTCCGCCCTGGAGAAGTTCTGGGTCACATCTCCCTTCAGGTCAGCACTTCTTTGCTCTGGAGTGAAATGCGATGAATAAGAATGTCTTCCCAGAAGCTAATGCAGGGTCACTTCAGATGCTGGAGAATTTCCAGTAAGAAAGGGAATCAAAGGGTCAGGATGAAAATTTTATAGGCCAACTTGGAAGTAACCACGTCCTTTACTTTTTAATGTACTTGGACATTTACAATGGATCCCTGACCTCTTGCTACAACTAGATATACTGCGTAGTTTCCTTTTCTGAATAGGAGAGCCTTATTTTTATATTTGAATTGTGGCTTTGAGTGTAACTTTTCCAGGGACTACATAAAGCAGGATGATTTGACTACTTTTCTATTTTAGATTTTGTGATTCATTCAAGAAATTAGAGCGCATAAACATAAGTTCTTGGGAACTTAAAAAAATATTTTTTTTAATGTGAAAATGCAGTGTATTAGTTTCCTAGAGCTGACGTAACAAAGTACTGCAAAGTAGTACCGCAAACAACAGGAATTTGTTCACGGTTCTAGAGATTGGTAGTGAAATTACAGTGTTGATGACAGTGGCTACTTCTGAGGGTTTTAAAGGAGAATCTGTCTCATGCCTGCCTCCTAGCTTCTGGTGATGTCCATCAATCCTTGGTGTTCCTTGGCTTGTAGATGTATCACTCCAAGGACTGCTTCTATCTTCACATGGTTCTCTCTGTGTCTCTGTGTCTTCACATGGCTGCCTTCTTATGACACCAATCATACTGCATTAGGGGCCCATCCTGCTCTACTCATCTTAACTAATTACAGCTGCAACAACCCTATATCCAAACAAGGTCACATGCTGAGTTGCAGGGGATTAGGACTTCAACATATCTTCTTTTGGGGGGAAGGGAGGCAATACAATTCAACCCATAATATATAACATGCATTACATAATATATAAAAATATATATGTGCAGTTTAGAAAATATTGTAAAGCTATCACTGATGTAATCACATCCCAGGTCCAGAAATCAAACACTCCCTGACCCGGAAAAGCCCTCTACTGTCCAATCTATCCTTCCACCTCACAACTCCACCATCCTGCTGGAGGTAATATTATTCTGACTTTTATGATAATCATGTCCTTGAATTTCTTTATAGTTTTACCACCCTTGTATACACCTCTAAACAAGATAGTTTAGTTTCACTTATTTTCCAACTTTATATAAATGTAATAATCAACACATATTCTTTCATGACTTGCTTCTTTCACTCAACACTGTTTGTGAAAATGATCTATGTTGTGATGTCTAGCTCTTGTTTGTTCATTTTATTGTGTTCTATCTCACAGTACAAGTAATACTACTAGTGACAGACATTTACAGTTTCAGACTATTCCAAACACTGCTGCCATGAGTATTCTTGTACATTCTTGTACCCTGGTGCTCATGGGCAGTGTTCACGGGGTTCTATACCTATGAGTGGAATTGCTGGGTCATCGGGTGTGCTTATCTTCAGCGTCATTAGATGGTATCAGATAGGTGTTGTACCAGTCTACACTCCCATAAGCCATGTGTGAGGGTTCTTATCAACATTTGGTATTTTCATTCTATTTAATTTTAGTCAGTCAGATGGGTGCAGAGTGATATCTCATTGTTTGAATATTTATTTCCCTAATTAACAATTAGGTTAGACATATTTTAATATTTTTATTAAACAAATATTGCTTTTTATTTACTATTATAAAGCATTTCCATATTGTTATATTATCATTTAAAATATCATTTAAAAATAATGACATAATATTCCATAGTGAGTTTACCCTCCTGATGGATGTGAAGACTTTTTTCCAAAGTTTTGATCTTATGACTAATGCTACAATTGATACATTTGTGTGTAAATCTTTGGATTATTTCCTTAGCATAAATTCCCCCAAAATAGAGTCATTAAGCTGAAATATCTGAGCTATTTTAAGGGTCTTTATCAATAATTGAGGAAAGTTATATTTATCTATATCTCTATATTTATATACATCTCTCATTGATGCATGAGTGCTATTTTACTCACCAGTATGTAGTTACACAATTTAAAAAATATGTTTGCTATTTGGAAGTAAAAAATGTTCTCTCTTTTTCTTTTCATTTGAATTGATTTGTTTATTAGAGTTTGAACACTTTGTAATTATTAACTAGTAGCATTTCTTCTTTAGTTATTGTCCAAATTTTTGTCCTTTTATACTCTGAAGCCTTTCTGCTTTGTTTACATTTATATGTGTCATTCATTAAAATAATATTTAAGCCTATGCTCTCATAATTGGTATACATTTTTTATCCAGTTTATTTTGATTTTTCTTTAATACAATAATGTAAACTTTATATGGTCAAATTCTCCCTTTGTTTTTGCTTTTGTTTTTGGTATTAGAATGTCCTACTCCTCTCAGAGGTTTCCTAACTTATCCAGATTGATTATAATTGGATTTTTAATAGATTTTTAAAAATGTTTAACATTTAATTCATGTGGAACTTATTGTGGTGTACTTACCGATTTAGGAAGAATTGATATTCCTATAGCATAGAGAGTCTTTTCATGTAGGAACACGGTCTGTTTCTCTAAAAAGTTTTCTTTACATTTCTGTAAACTATGCCCCCACAAAATTTGTAGCAATTTTCATTTTAGGGAAGATGGGTAAATTATTTCTGGGGTAAAGTAAATTTTAGTGAGAGAAGGCCCTTCATGAACCTTCTAATTTATGCAAGATGGACTCCAGAACTAGTCTGAAATGGTTGCAAATTAGATGGAGAAAAATTTTCATTTTCATTGCCTGATAAAGAACAAGAACTTTTCAGGTTTAATCTGTGGGCAAAGGAGACAGAGATTTGGTTGCACTGAGAATATGATGAAAAGGGGACACAGGATAAGAATTGCACAGAAAGAGTGGATGCTGGCCACAGAAATGGTACTGTGATACTCCTGAAGCCAGGAATATAGGGACACAGTGCCAGTCAACATTCAATTTTTTCTGTTCTTCTGTACTGTATGATAGTATCCATTCATTACCCTCCAACAGAGAGAATCAATTTCATGAATCCTAGTTATGAGACCTCATATTTCCTTACTTCTTTTCCCAAATAAAATTAAACTGCTTCCAAGTGCCCATTTGTTGGCTTGGCTGATCATCTGAGATCAGTCATCATGTGGCTCCCTCTGCTGGGCTTTGCTACTCCCTACAGTCTAAGAGTTGGCCCTCAGAGGCATCCTCTTCAAAGTATCCACATTCCCTCACAGTTCTGTCACCTCAAAAGCTACATGAGAGTGGGGGCAGGTCTCTGTAGAAACTGTCACCTCTCCATCTTCCCAGACTCAGGGAATCCACAACTTTACTTCATCCCTAAGCCCGCCCT